CTCCCTCCCACCTCACATCAATTTTATGATGTAACGAGGGTTTTTACAAGGTTAAACATAAAGATCAATTATGTTTTCCATGGCCTAATTAGTTCGCATGCCAATTTTTGTAACATTCGGCGATGTATCATTTTTTGAATGACTTCAACATAACCTAATAGGTACTGTGGCCCAATAGATAAGGCATCTGACTATGAATCAGGGGATTGCAGGTTAGAGTCCTGGCAGGATTGATTTTTTCGTGTTTTATTCGCTCACTCAGCCAAACAGCTTTGGTGGTTATAAAATCTGTTGAATTAATGGCTCTTTTTCCTCCCCCCGGCTCTTTTTCCTTTCCCCCCCCCCCCACCTGCAAATTTTTATATTTGAAGTTACTCTTCACTTTGTCCGGTTGTCTTGAAATTTGACATGCAGACTAACTAGGTTATGAGAAACATATTTGGTCTTCATAATTAACCTTGTAAAACCACTCGTTAGACCATAAAATTCATGTTTGAGTGAGATGGGGGAAAAAGGAAAAAGAGCCCTCCCCCCACCCCCACCTCACATAACCATCAAATTTATTGTGTAACGGGGGGAGGGGTTTACAATGTTAAACATGAAGATCAAATATGTTTTGCATGGCCTTATTAGTTCGCATGTCAATTTTGTAACATTCGGATAATGTGGTCAAAACTTCAATAATGAAGACTTGAAGGTAGGGGGAAAAGGAAAAAGAGCCAATTTTATAACGGAACTTTGAGAGACATTTTTGAGGGAAAATACAGAAGCGTTTTAAAGGTAAATGGCAACGATAGTGTGCGAGGACAAAATCCCATTTGACCTCTAGCTTCAGGTCTATCACAGCCTGACCGATTTCGGCTACAATAGTGAAAGTTTTAGGCTCAATTAAAACTTCCTTGAGCCGCAAAAAAGAGCCTTGCGTAACAAAAGCAACTCAGTCTGGAATATGGGAAAATAATAGAAATTGACTATGTTTAGACCAGCCTTACAGACTTTCATAGATCCTCTGTGCATCACATGAACAAAAGAAGCACGTGAGAAAACAAAGAAAAAGAACCATAAGACTTTTTCAGAACATCGTGTCAACGGCTTTTAACCGAATCACTTACCTAAGCTATTTCTAATCTTAACTTAATCAAATACCTTGCTTTTTTCTAAATTATCTCCATGAAAACTTGCATCGAAGATGCCTTTTGGGAAGAAAAATAGCGCTAAAAATGCAGCCAAGAAAGCAGCCAAAGCAGAATCGAAAAAAGCATCCACTTCGGATTCCAACGTTGAACCAGCCGCCGAGTTGAAAAACGAACACTTAATTTACGAGGATGGCTGCGACAGAGACAACGCAGTACCCGCCTGGGAAACAGTCGCTGGATCTCTCAAGCCCCGACACTCGGAGGTTCCGAACAGTGTGCTACAAAATACGCCGAAAGCAAACGAGTTATCTCCATTAACCGAGGAGACTCCGCACGCTACCCGGGGTGGGCCGAGCCCCCCGAATATAATCGAAGACTTGGCGAAAAAAGAAAACGGGTCCAAAGAGGGAGATTCTGGAGGAAAGGACGAGGAAGCTGCCATTGCTGAAACTACTGAAGCGGGTGGGGGTTATCTGATGAATCCGAATGCAGCCGACAAAACGTCGAAAAGTCCCACTCCCATTCCGGATAGTGTTGTCGACTTAAAAACTGCAGCCGCCAACAACAAAGGTGCCCGGGGACAAAAACGGGGAGGTCTCGAGGCGATTAATGAGGGATCGGATGCTCCGAAAGAATCCAAAAGGGCTCTTCATTAAAAAAAACATATTCCTCAAACAAGTGTTTTTCCAAGCTATAAAATTTTGACTCGGCTTTTTTCCAACCCCCCCCCTCCCCCCACGTAAACTGTAAAACAAAATTGAAAAAATTGAATTTTGCATGTAAAATATTGCAACAATATGCTCACTTGTTCATGCTGACTTGTTCACTGGTTCAGTAAAAGTCATTTTTAAAAAAGGTAAATTGAGTTACAGTATAGGTTTGTGAGCTGGTCAAATTCCTCCAAAAAGTGACTTGGGTAGTATAATATGTAAACTGTCGTGAAATCATGAGCTTGAGCTGAGACCTTTTTAAAGTTTACAGTAGAGGGCTCTTTTGCAGCTCCCCCCTTTCAAATTCAAATTTGAAAAGCGTATATAACATTGCCATAATGCATTGAAATTTGGCGTGGTGAACAAATCGACAAGTTTGAACAGATTTGTTCTTCATACTTTACAGCGTAACGTCACGCATTTAGCCGTAATAACACGTAAAACAAACAGTATTTTACTCAGTATTTAAAAAGGGGGGGCTGGAAAAGAGCCCAGTAGAGCTTCAACTTTAAAATATATTGGGGCTGAGCAAGTGAACCATTCCGAACAAATTTTCATTTTTACGAGCATCGAAAGAGCTATCCCTAGCAGCAATAATATTTTCTATTAACAACCCCCCTCCCGGCTCTTTTCCAGTTCCCCACCCCTTTCAATTTTTCTGAAATTCAATTTATGAAAGTCCTTGTAAAATGTTTTTAATGCTATAAACTGCGTTAAAACATGTCAGAGTGAACAGGTGAACAAACTTTTACACTACTTCCTACGAGCAAATTGCCATGTAAACAATTTTTGAACAGCGTTATTTTCTAATTTTTCGAGGGTGTTGGGAAACTGGAAAAGAGCCCCCCTCCCAAAAGTACACTCAACTACAATGCTTTTAGGGTTTCACTCAACTACGATGGTTTATTTTTGAGGTTTTTCACTTCGGCTCTCTCATAATGGCTGAAAGAGGTTTAAACGTTAGTTTTTTTTTGAACGTCGCAAATGTAGAAAAGTTCTTCTTTTAAAAATAGTGACTTTTCTATATTTTTCGGACAGCAAAAGAAGAGCTTTTTACAATGACAGATCTGAAGTGAACGTAGGAGGAACTAGGCCCTCCTCTCGCAACAACAAATCAGCTGCAAAAAGCCCCTCGAGATCAGCCCGCAGTCGGTCTAGAGGAGGGAGCAAAGGCGATGAAAACCTCAAGAGCAACAAAGGCATCCGCAAATCAGATTCAGCACTAACAGAAGACATAAAAGCCCGAATGCTCACAAACAAAAAGTCTTCTGCCCTGAAAAAAGGCAAGGTATTTTTCTTGTTTCCATAGAACATCTGTCATTTTTATTAGACTTTCTTAGATCGAATCAAGGGAGGATCTAGGATTTTCTCGAGGAGGGGGGCGGATTTTCAAAAAAAAATTTTTAGATCGACCAATTTTTTTTTTAGATCGACGAAATTGATTTTTTGGGCTCTCCCAAAGCACTGTTTTGTCCCTATTTTAGCGAAACTTTTTGCGCTGCAGGCAAAATTTTGAAAAAACAGGCCAAAAAAGGCGTTTTTAGGCACTTTTTGGAAAATTTTGACCGAAAAATTGCGTTTTTTCGGCGCGCGCGCTCCCATCAAAATTAGTATATGTTGGCGCCAAAGGCGCCTTTAGAAAATTTTTAGGGTCATCACCAAAAATGGATATCTCAAAATAGTACCCCTAAATCCACCCCTGAATCGAATATTAGCAAAAAACCAAATGAAGGGCTGGCAAAAAGCGCAAAAAGTAAAGCCCCATCGGCCATCACAGTTAGATTTTTGTATTACGGGGAACAAAGGGCTCTTTTCCAGTTTCACCCCTTTCAAATTCAATTTTGAAAAGTCTATTGAACGTTGTCACAGTGCAATGAAATTTGGCGTGGTGAACAAATCGACAATTCTGAACAGATTTGTTCTTCATACTTTACAGCGTAACATCACGCATTTAGCCGTAATAACACGTAAAACGAACATAAGACTCGGTATTTTGAAAGGGGGGGGGGAGGAACTGGAAAAGAGCCGAACAAAGATGATCGCGGTGGGGAGGGGGAAATCACGCAAAAGAACTTAAAAAAAAACATTAAAGTACGGTCTGCATTTTTGCTCCTGTACCGTTTCCCCCGCTATCTGTGTTTGCTACTAAACGTGAAATCAGGGGCGGATCTAGGATTTTCTCGAGGGGGGGCGTATTTTCAAAAAATTTTCGAAAATTTTGACGACCTTTTTTTTAGGTCGATCAGATTGATTTTCCGAGTTCTCCCAAAGCAGTAAAAAGACCCTGTTTTGGCCAAATTTTCTGCGCCGCAGGCAATTTTTTTGAAAAAACAGGTCAAAAAGCCGTTTTTGGGCACTTTTTGGAAAATTTTGACAAAAAAAAACGCGTTTTTTTGGCGCGCGCTCCCCCTCAAAATTAGTATATATTGGCGCCCAAGGCACCTTTAGAAAAATTTTAGGGTCGGTCGGCCAAAGATGGATTGCTTGAAAAGTACCAAAGGGGGGACCCTTTGGGTTGGCGGGGGTTCGAATCCCTGAGGGGGTTCGAATCCCTCTGAGGGAGTTCGAATCCCCCCTGCCCCCTTCCCCCCCCCCCCTAAATATGCCCCTGCGTGAAATTGACATTAAATTAATTGGTTTGAAGTTTTTTGCATATATTGTAATTACCAAATTACGAATCAGGCGTGGTCTTTTTTCTTAACTTGTTAAAATCAATAGTTGATGCGCAAAAATTCTTTTTTATCTTCGGTGGTCGGGAATCGGTAAGAGAGCAGACGTCGTGGCTCAATTTTGCACAAGGGGACAAAAGTTTTCAAAAAATCTCATGGGAAAAAGACTGTAGAAAAACCAACGGTGGTTCGGTTTAGATGAAAACAATACCTATTTGACTCACAAAACAAGGAAAACGCCCAGAAGCAAATCACCCGCTGGCTCAAGGAGCGGAAACATCGTGAACTGGAACTTCATTGAAAACAGGACTGCTCATTTTACCTCATTTTTTGACGACAACTTTTTAATTGTTCGGCGTGGATTTGCTATCAAGTTTTCTACATCAGGAGATATTCAACGCTTGAAGTTGTACAATATCCCTAGTAAATACAGCACTAAGTGCAATACGGAACCACCTCGACATATGGTCGAAATTACTTTGACTATGGATACTCTGGAAAGTGGTAATTGGAGACTAGAAAAAACGGGTGAAATTGACTATAGCTTGCATGTGCCTACTAACTGTATAATTGGGTTGTGGCTGATTAAAATCCGAGTCGACCACGACGACTATCGTGAAGATTTAAGGGTTTTGTTCAACCCTTGGTGTCCCGAAGATGAAGTGTATCTAGAAGACGAAACGATGCGAAAAGAGTATGTGCTTAACGAAAGTGGCCGTGTTTATACGCATGGACAAATGTGCTATCCATGGTTTTTCGGCCAATTTGAACATCGGATTCTTGATATCACTCTCTATCTTCTTGACAAGTCTAATTTGAGTACTTCGGCTAAATGCAGCGCAGTGTTCATTGCACGCGCGTTGTGTTCTATCATTAATCATGACGATGACGGAGTCATTAATGGCCGTTGGCAAGAACCATACACCGGAGGGTATGACCCTAAACACTGGCACAGTTCAGTTGATATTTTAAATAGATTTTACAGAACTCGAAAGCAGATCAGTTATGGACAATGTTGGGTTTTCAGTGCCCTCCTCGTAACTATAACTCGGGCTCTCGGGATTCCAAGTCGCCCGGTGACGAACAACTTCTCGTTTCACGATTCAAATCGTACCAATATTTGTGAGTGGGAAATTATGCATGACGGATCGGTCAAGGTTGAGTTTCTGTTTACTTGTCATATATTTTCAAGTTCTGGTTAGGTTCTGGTTCGAAGTTTTGGTTACGTAGTAAAGTAGATAAGTCATAAGTAGACACGTCGTGAGCTAATTAGAATCGAAAAAATATTTATTGTGTACATTTTTAGAGTACGATTCTAATAATTAATCAATAATTGTGGTTCCTGCGATTCGCAGAGGATCTATGAAAGGCTTTGCAGCCTGTCTAAGCCTAGTCCATTTCTCTTATTTCTCCACATTCCAGACTGAGTTATTTTGCTGAGCAAAGCTCTTTTTTGTCTATTTGCTGACCACTTTCCGAAATTTTTCATAAATGTGTTCAATGAACGACTACATTGCTGGTTTAAAAAAATTGAAACTTCAAACGCCTTTTTCTCAAATTGGGTTGAGATTCGATAAAAAGTGATGAAAACATATGTTGCATAGCGATTTACCAAAAATATTATGAGAAAAATATTTTGCGAAATTCGAAACCAAACATTTACCCCAAAATTGGTCATTTTTTTCTTTAGTTAAAAATGTTTTTAAAACGTGATATTCAAATGTAGAGGAGGGTAAACGTGGGAAAAAGAGGAAAAAGCAAAACGCGCAAAGACTCCTCGATTTATTTTTGCAGCGATGACCTTCTGATACTGACAAAATGATTTTTCATTAGTGGCAACAGTAGTAAATTACCAGAAATAATCTACAATTTATTATTTATTTTTCTTTCAGCTCAAGAAGTTGTCGCAGTATTAAGAAAAACCGGTTAAATTTATTTTAAGTTTTGATTTCATTTTGAGCAAGTGTAAAACGTCCAATTTATTACGATTCCGTAGGAATAAAAAAAATTAAGAAGTCAGCAATTTATTCTGCAAAAAAAATCAACAAAGTTTTATAAAATTAGCTCTGAATTTAAAAAAAAAACGTTGTTTTTTTTCTAAAAGAATAATGGGCGCTTTTGTCAGTTTACAAACGTTCTACAACTTCTAATTTTTTGTAGTTCTTCCGAGCCCCCTTGAAAGAGGGGAGGAATTTTGTCATCGGGTGTTTTATAGTTTTTTCTCTTTTATTTGTTTTCTACGCCAAATTAAGAACCTAAAACAGTCATCAGAATGAGTCGAGTCGTATATCAACCTAAAAACTTTTCAGTCAAGATTCAAAAAACACTAGAAAAAGTTCAAAAACTTATCGGTCACAATATTGAGAGAAACCAGTTTGAAGTTTTTGAGTTTTAATTATATTTCAAGCGAGTCCTAATCGATCGCTTTTCTTGCTCAAAATTAGATTGAAGTTTTCACTTGAGTAGTGAAATACCTGAGTAACTACGCTTCCTTAGCAAGAAAAAAGTTTTCAAAAGTCATATTTGTTTCTGAATTTGTTGGTTTTTGTTTTTTGAAAATAATCTTGGTCAATTATCTCTTTTTACTGACGTTCTACGCGTTCGTATTTTTTGTAGTTATTCCGCCACTTAAAAAGGAGGAAAAACTTTGTATTTAGGGGTGTTTTATTTTTTTCCATGCAAAGTCAGGTATCACATCTAATCATTGGACTGGATTGAGTAATATCTTAAATTAAAGTCCTTTCAGTCGTAATTTTGCCGAAATTTATTATTCTTTTTCAACCAAGAGAAGTTACCAATGGTAATCATCGGAATGACAGGAGTGATATATCATAACAATACCGTTTTGGCGCTGATTCAAACAACTTTCAATTTTATAAAAATATTTATTCTATTTTTGAGAAAAAAAAATTGTTTTAAAATTTTGATTTTTTTTTTCAATTTCGAGCGAATAAAGCAAGCGAGCAGACTTTTTATAGAAACATGAACCATGAATTTTCAGTTCACTCCAGTAAAATTTTATTCAATTTGCTTGTCAGCGCAATCTTGGGAATAAACATCTAAAAAACATTTAAAAAATATCTGCAAAACGAATTGAAGAAAAATTTTTTTTGAAGTATTTTTTTCTTGTCAATTTTTGACACAATCAATGCCCAATTTGCCAGTTTTACTGCCGAATATGCCTAAGTTCTAAGCTTCGTTACATCCTTTTATCACACCACGCTAAAACAAAGCGATTCTCAAATTACGAGGCCAAAGTGTGTATTTTGCTAATTGTAAACGGATTCCGCAACAAGGTTGCTCTCTTTGAGCTTCTTTTGTTCTTTCGTTTTTTTTTATTGCTGCAACAAAACTTTAACTTGATTGAAGACTTGTTTCTGGGTTTCAGAGACATACAAACACCAAATTGCGCGCCTATACAGTGCACAAGGTGGCCTCGTGATGAATTTGAAAAAAGACAACTTTTTTAAAGAACATGGTCGGAACACGCTGTCCTACGCAGCAACTGGCTATCTTTGTTTTTTTTTATGAATGTGGTCGGAATATTCAGTGCTATTTGAACAGCAACCGGCTATCCTTGTTCAGAATTTGCTTTTGCCCCGTATCGTAAACGAATTTAGAATAATTATTATCATTATAAGTTTGTCTGCGAGACAATACTTATGTTGGTTATTTACTATCAGAACAACGTTTCGAGCGGTCTTCCTTAAGCAGAAGCGTTTCTCAAGGTGCTCCACATTTCAAGGTTTTCACACTATAAGAACGAATTGTGTCAAAAATGACAGAAATTCAATATTTGAGAGTTTGGATTCTGTTTGGAACTTCCATGTATGGGCTGAGATTTGGCTGAGTCGGAATGATCTTCCAGATGGCTACGGTGGCTGGCAAGCTATCGACCCAACCCCCCAGGAAATGGCGGAGGGGTCGTCTATCGCCGGTCCAGCGCCCGTCAAGGCTATTAAAGAAGGGGCGTTTCATCTACCATATGACGTGGCCTATTTGTTCTCCGAAATGAACTCGGATATTTCGTACTGGCGAAGAGAGCGAGACGGTCAGTTCGGCAAACTAATCAAATTTGACGAATTAAAAATTGGGAAGGCAATTTTAACAAAACAGATTGGGAGCGAAGAAAGTGAAAACTTAATTTCGACTTACAAACTGGAAGCTGAAAAGAAAGAAGCTTTAATTTCTACGGAAGAAAAAATTGAAATTATCAAAGCAGTGAACCCAGGTGTTAGTTTTGTTATTTACGAACATCTGATGGGGAAAAAACCGAGCGTCGAAATCAAGCTGAAAGTTCCCGAGTATGTTGCGATCGGAAACGACTTCCAATACTCGGCTGAATTTACACCGACAGAGGCAATCGGCGCAGCTGCCGAAGCTAAAATTTCTATCTGCATTTTTGTCTCGACAAACGTGGGAAAATTTATAGGACAAATTGCAAAACATGATTTCCATAAGCAGAAAGTATCGAAAGAAAATGCTCTCAAAGGCAAAGTAGAATATATAAAGTATCGAAGATTCGCGTGTGCGAGTTATTCAATAAAGATATTTGTTACTTGTCAATTGTTGAGTCCGAACGAAGGCATCAATTGTGATTTTGTTACCATTCCCTTCTTCTGTAGACCCCCCGATATCAAAGTGATTTCGAAGCCCCCCTACAACCAAGGCGAGCCCGTGGACATAAAACTCAGCTTCATAAACGAGTTTAGATTTGGGCTGAGCGGCTGTTATTTTGAACTAAGTGCGCCGAGGATGAAGCCGAAAGCGTTCGGAATCAAGAAAGGACTCGGGTCGGGAGAGTCGTGTTACATTCACCTGCAGTACAAGCCGAAACGATTCGGCGATATAATGCTAATTGCGAAGTTCGGGTGTAGAGAGATTACTGTTGCGTGTGGTTCTGTAGAACTCGATGTCGCCAAGAAAGCCGAATAGCTCAACTACGTATTTAAAAAAAGATTATTTTGAACTGACCTCCAATTTTACCAGGGAAAGAACATCTTATCTAAGCAATCATCAGCATTATCTACAAAAAATGCAGAAAAAAATCTTGATGTAAAATTTCATGACAAAATTGGTGAGAAATTCTTGAAATTTCTTGGGGCCACGAAAAACCTTTTAGTCCCCTTATCAACAAAATTGGACACATCCGAAGTAAAATGAAGCCAACAAATCTTTTACTTGGTGTCATAACGTTTTTTCTTGATACCAGAAAATGAATGGTAACACGATTCGACACCAAAATCATGGAAATTGAACTTGAGGCGAATTTAGAGGCGAAACGAACAAAGTTGAGGTGAATCTAGTTATGCTTGTTTCGATACTATTACTTTTGAAGAATGGTTTCTGAATTTGAAAAAAAAATTTCGAAAACAGCACTAATATCAAAATCCATCTCATGGAAATCAAATGGTACAGAACTGGGATCTCTTTAACTATATCCCCCATTGGGTGCCTAAGTCCTAGTAACGATTCTCCCCTCCTTTAAAAAAATCATTGGTTAAGCATATCAATTTTTTTCACCTTGTAACGAATCTGCCCCTTTTGCAAATAGATCTCAAAACTGGTTTTAAACAGTCGAAAGCTTCACGAGGTAAACACGAATTACCCTGGGTTTATGTTTTGATTTTTCAGACCAACTTTGGTATGTTTCAACCGTCTCCACCAAACTTCGGTATGTTTCGACGTTCGGTTTTTCCGTACATATTTGACCAAATTTTTGGATGCTTAGACTTTCTCAACCCAACAAAAAATGCGTGCGACTTTTTTTGTTCCTAGTGTTTAGATAAGTTTCGATTTTCTCGGCCAAAATTTGAAACGTTTCGTTTATCTCGATTTTCTCCACTGTCTCGAATTAAACTTTCCAATTTTACTCTTTTTTCTTACATATCTGGACTGAAACTGTCGATTTTTGATCAGGTATATTTGGTTTGGTAGAGTTTACTTATTCTGGCTAATGTTCAGTCAAATTTACTTATTCTTGCCTCCTTAATTTATAAACTAATTGTTGAAGCGTTCATTCTAAATCTTCCTGTTTTTGCAACAAGCCAATCTCTTCTGATTGGAGTTTTGTGTCGGAGGTTTTTTCTAGGCAGATTTTTTTGCTCAGTTTCTAATTTGGTACGCTTTGACTTCGTGCTCGACTTAAATCTGCTTCTCATCCGCGGCGGATTTCCAGTCAAAAAACTGCAACTTCTCGACCTTGACAGTCAAAACATTAGTTGAACACCTTGACCCGGGTAGGTTATCGAAGAAGGCAAAAACGTGACTATAATGCGAAACTGTTAAATAGGCATAAAATATTTTGGGCCTAACAGATAAAAAAATTCTAATTGATGAGCCTTCTTATCGCGCAGAGGTAACCGGCTGAGGTGTTTAAAGCTGAGATGACCAAAGCGATGCTCGTTTTCTGTTTCAAGTTGAAAAGGTGAAACGAACGCTACAGTCGAACAAATCCGAAACTTGAAACTAATTTGAAAAATGTTTGAGGAGCCTTAAACATTTTTAAACATATTATTACTTGGTCGATGCAGCTGCTTTCATGCAGTATTGTGTAATTTATGAAAATTCAGCAGAAATGTGTAGTATTTATAAAAAAAGTTTGCTTCTTTAGAAGCTCAGATTATTGTTTCATCCCCAGTAAGCTGGCGTATTATCCATTTTTTATACTCTTTTCACCATACTGGGACGAAATCAAGCTTGAAGTACCCAAGTAATTTGCCACTGGAAACGACTTCCGTTCCAACAACAGTACCGAAACAAAAAATAGTTCAACAGCGCCAAAAATATGAACAAGTTTCAACATATTAAGTGCGGCAATCAAAAATTAAACGGCAAACGTTTATAATCTTAAGTGACACTTAAAAATTTTGAGCAAGAAAATTTGCAGTTAAGACATTTTAGCCCTAAAGTAATTGTTAGTTGGCAGTTGCAGACATTTTGGCGCCAGAATTGGAGTGATTTTCTTTGATAATTAGCGTCAGTAATTTCCCGCTCTTTGGAAAACGCGTTAAAATTATTCTGAAATTTCCCCCGCCTTTTTCGGCACTGTTGTACTTTGGCACTGCTGAACGCCCTCATCAACAACCAGCTTTTTTCCTATTTAGATTTAACGAGAAAAATTCTACGGCATTACAGCTGCTACAAGTAATCATAATCATAATAAAAAAAATCATAATCATAATCAGTAAGATTTTAGAAAATATCCAGGGGAAAGGATCCCTCTCAAGATTTTGATCAAATCAAAAGTTAGGCTTTTTAACGTTATACACTTTCCGCTTTTGCATTCAATCCTCCATGAACACGAATTTCCTTCATTGAATTTCTCTTTTAAAAATCTGCAGTATGAACTCGTAAGGATCTCTTTGATGCTTTGGTAGTCGATGATGTCATATTTCATATAATCGTTAAGAAAATTGGTCAGTACACACTAATGGTTGTGATAAACTTATTTAATAGTTTCGGTGTGAATAAAAAATTTGAGCAATTGATGCGGTGTTCGATGCGGCAGATCTGGCTCGACTCTAGCTGGAGAAGACTCGTGTGCCGAGTGTACGAAAGTCAGTGGATCTTCCGGTGAACAGTGGATCCAGTGCGATATTTGCGACGCATGGTTTCACAATTCCTGCTAAAGACTTCATGTCGACCTCATACCTCAAGTTGATAAGCAAGGTAAGTTACCTTCTTTTTCGCTGCATTTTTTGTTTTTTAAATTAACGTCAGACTCATTTTTAGTTACATGCCAAAATAGTGAGCTGATGGCTGGGTCTCAGTATCCCAAGACCACAAGCTCACTCCTGAAAACAGGTTTACTACTTAATGATTAAATTATTATTGTTTTTGTACAGTAGATAAAAAAAATGCACATCCATTGGAGATGGATCAACCCTTTCCCTCAACTCTTAGCTTCTCATTAACGAAAAATGAAACTGATGGTAATTAAAATTCAATTCAGGCCATTGCTGGAAGCGAAAAATTGTTAAAAATCAGTTCACAATCTTTTCCCGAATCTGGACGAAGAGCGGTCTTGTTGCCGACCAGGTAAGGGTAGCAAATTCCTCCCAAACACCCTCCTGATTCTCGGAAATTGGTTTGTAACGACTGTAGCTGTACAATCATTACAACGAGGAGTGTTCTTCTGTAAATAACGTTGACTACAATTCTGCCGTTGGCTATATCTGCATCCGTCTTGCTTTTATCAGCAAAAATTGTTCTGATTTTCGCGCTTTTTCAGTAGTCGCGAAAATTCAACATCGTGACGTGTCTTTAATTTTGAACGAATTTTTGAAAAAGTATTTGGTCACTCCGAATTGATTCCTCCTATTACGTTCAACTGAACGATTAACACCACTAATCGTTCCAAAGTCAATTTTCTCAATGAACTGTTCCAAATAACAATTCGTTGATGAACTGCTTTTCAGGTCTTTCTGGTCGAATTTCACCTAGTTTATGCAATAATTTTTTTCATTTTTGTAACTTTTCTTGCATGTTTCTCCGAAAAAACAGAAAAAAAAGCAAAAAAGAAGTACCCTTGCTTATTTATCAACTTGAGGTACGAGGTCGACAGGAAATCCTTAGCAGGAATTGTGAAACCATGTGTCGCAAATATTGCACTGGATCCACTGTTCACCGGAAGATCCACTGACTTTCGTACACTCACTCCGCACGAGTGTAATCATTCAATGAAATCAAAAGATTTTTTTTTGTATTCATCGGGTAGGTACCCTACAAAAAAGTGATTTAACAATTAGAAAAACCTTAGCTGACTAGCAAGCTATCCGAACATTGACTAGCGTCTAGACTTGGCAAAAAACTGTTTTACTTGGATTTTTTCCAATATAATTATTTAGTACACGATTTAGTGACCGTGAAATATTGGGTCTATGTACAAGTATGGTCCACAGGTGAGTTTGGGATTTGGGATCCTTACGAGTTCATACTGGAGACTTTTAAATGAGAAAATAAATGAAAAAATATGTGTTCTTGGATGATTGAATGCAAAAGCGGAAAGTGTTTACCGTTAGAAAGCCTAATTTTTGATTTGATCTTGAAAATTTGTTCAGAAGAGTTCTGTATTGCTGTAAATTAAAGCCCGCCAAATACAACAGACCTGAAATACAAATTCACATTGACAGATTCCTTTCTTTCTCTTTAGTGAGGAAGATAATCACAATCAAAAGACTTTAAAGGCACCTAGTTAATTACACAGCTCGCATAGTGGAGGCCAAATGGCGGGAGTGATTATATTAACGCAAGCGCAAGAAAGCGTGTACCTGTAGCACCTCAATTGACAAATAGAATAAGCATTCAGCCAATCAAAATGAATACATTATAAACGTCGCAAAAGCAGTATGGAAAGTTCGTTTGGTCAACCATCATGCAGAAGATGAAAATACCCATTTGGAAGTATTCCAGTCTCTAGGACGCCCCGTAAAGTCTCGGAATTCACACCTTTCTTCGTGAAGACATCTGCTAACTGCAATTTATGATTTATCCACTGTACTTTCACCACTTCTTTTTTTTCTACTATCTGTTTTATCGAAGCCAAATCGATTCTCAGTCGTTTTTTGGTCACAGACTTCGTTGAACGCAAATTATCGATGAACGGTTTATTGTCTATGAAACTGAAAAAGCCCACAATTTTCTTCGATACTTACTCAATCAATTTTTGTCAAGAAATACGAGCAATCTAAGGATTCTCCGAGCGCAAAGGCTTCAGAAGCTAGTGTACTTTTTACGACTTGCTGTATTTTTGAAGCTTTCCATGCTAGTGGACAGCACTTTTCGACACCAACAAGCAGAATAATGCGACCAAAAGCACTAGAAAAGCCATCCTTCAAATTCGCATGGGATGCATTGCTAAAAACTACCGTTTTCTATTCGCTCATTCCTAGATCCGGGAACAGAAGCGCAAATTCGTTTCTCTAACTTTATCAGTGATTTGTTCGCATCTTTTAGTGAACTTATATCTGCACTTGTAACTCTGGTACTCAAATCCAACACGTCGAATGATAACTCCGGCCTTGTTGTTGAAGCAGGGGCTGATTTTGGGGGGGGGCGGACGCCCCCCCCCCCCTGTCAGGGATTCGACCCCCTGCCGATCCAAAGGGTCCCCCTTTGATACTTTTTCAGAAATCCATTTTTGGTCGACCGACCCTAAAATTTTTCTGAAGGCGCCTTTGGCGCCAATATATACTAACTTTGAGGGGGAGCTCGCGCCAAAAAAAAAACGCGATTTTTTTGTCAAAATTTTTCAAAAAGTGCCCAAAAACGGCTTTTTTGACAGTTTTTTCAAAAAATTGCCTTCGGCGCAGAAAATTTAGCCAAAATAGGGGCAAAACAGTGCTTTGGGAGAGCTCGAAAAACCAATTTAGTCGACCTAAAAAAAAGGTCGTCAAAATTTTTGGACCATTCCCTTCGTTACCATTCCCTTCTTCTGTAGACCCCCCGATATCAAAGTGATTTCGAAGCCCCCCTACAACCAAGGCGAACCCGTGGACATAAAACTCAGCTTTATAAACGAGTTTAGATTTGGGCTGAGCGGCTGTTATTTTGAACTAAGTGCGCCGAGGATGAAGCCGAAAGCGTTCGGAATCAAGAAAGGACTCGGGTCGGGAGAGTCGTGTTACATTCACCTGCAGTACAAGCCGAAACGATTCGGCGATATAATGCTAATTGCGAAGTTCGGCTGCAGAGAAATTACTGTTGCGTGTGGTTCTGTAGAACTCGATGTCGCCAAGAAAGCCGAATAGCTCAACTACGTATTTAAAAAAAATTATTTTGAACTGACGTCCAATTTTACCAGGGAAAAAAATCCTTATCTAAGCAATCATCAACATTATTTACAAAAAATGCTGAAAAAATCTTGGTGTAAAATTTCATGACAAAATTGATGTGAAATTCTTGAAATTTCTTGGGGCCACGAAAAACCTTTTAGTCCCCTTATCAACAAAATTGGACACATCCGAAGAAAAATGAAGCCAACAAAAACTTTTACTTGGTGTCAAAACGTTTTTTCTTGATACCAGAGAATAAATGGTAACACGACTCGACACCAAAAAACATATGAAAATTGAACTTGAGGCAAATTTAGAGGCGAAACGTTTCGAGGCGAAAGAGGCGAAACGTTAAGAGGTAAATTTAGAGGCAAATTTAGAGCCTAAGTCCTAGTAACGATTCTCCCCTCCTTTAAAAAATCATTGGTTAAGCATATCAATTTTTTTCACCTTGTAACTAATCTGCCCCTTTTGCAAATAGATCTCAAAACTGGTTTTAAACAGTCGAAAGCTTCACGAGGTAAACACGAATTACCCTGGGTTTATGTTTTGATTTTTCAGACCAACTTTGGTATGTTTCAACCGTCTCCACCAAACTTCGGTATGTTTCGACGTTCGGTTTTTCCGTACATATTTGACCAAATTTTTGGATGCTTAGACTTTCTCAACCCAACAAAAAATGCGTGCGACTTTTTTTGTTCCTAGTGTTTAGATAAGTTTCGATTTTCTCGGCCAAAATTTGAAACGTTTCGTTTATCTCGATTTTCTCCACTGTCTCGAATTAAACTTTCCAATTTTACTCTTTTTTCTTACATATCTGGACTGAAACTGTCGATTTTTGATCAGGTATATTTGGTTTGGTAGAGTTTACTTATTCTGGCTAATGTTCAGTCAAATTTACTTATTCTTGCCTCCTTAATTTATAAACTAATTGTTGAAGCGTTCATTCTAAATCTTCCTGTTTTTGCAACAAGCCAATCTCTTCTGATTGGAGTTTTGTGTCGGAGGTTTTTTCTAGGCAGATTTTTTTGCTCAGTTTCTAATTTGGTACGCTTTGACTTCGTGCTCGACTTAAATCTGCTTCTCATCCGCGGCGGATTTCCAGTCAAAAAACTGCAACTTCTCGACCTTGACAGTCAAAACATTAGTTGAACACCTTGACCCGGGTAGGTTATCGAAGAAGGCAGAAACGTGACTATAATGCCAAACTGTTAAATAGGCATAAAATATTTTGGGCCTAACAGATAAAAAAATTCTAATTGATGAGCCTTCTTATCGCGCAGAGGTAACCGGCTGAGGTGTTTAAAGCTGAGATGACCAAAGCGATGCTCGTTTTCTGTTTCAAGTTGAAAAGGTGAAACGAACGCTACAGTCGAACAAATCCGAAACTTAAAACTAATTTGAAAATGTTTGAGGAGCCTTAAACATTTTTAAACATATTATTACTTGGTCGATGCAGCTGCTTTCATGCAGTATTGTGTAATTTATGAAAATTCAGCAGAAATGTGTAGTATTTATAAAAAAGTTTGCTTCTTTAGAAGCTCAGATTATTGTTTCATCCCCAGTAAGCTGGCGTATTATCCATTTTTTATACTCTTTTCACCATACTGGGACGAAATCAAGCTTGAAGTACCCAAGTAATTTGCCACTGGAAACGACTTCCGTTCCAACAACAGTACCGAAACAAAAAATAGTTCAACAGCGCCAAAAATATGAACAAGTTTCAACATATTAAGTGCGGCAATCAAAAATTAAACGGCAAACGTTTATAATCTTAAGTGACACTTAAAAATTTTGAGCAAGAAAATTTGCAGTTAAGACATTTTAGCCCTAAAGTAATTGTTAGTTGGCAGTTGCAGACATTTTGGCGCCAGAATTGGAGTGATTTTCTTTGATAATTAGCGTCAGTAATTTCCCGCTCTTTGGAAAACGCGTTAAAATTATTCTGAAATTTCCCCCGCCTTTTTCGGCACTGTTGTACTTTGGCACTGCTGAACGCCCTCATCAACAACCAGCTTTTTTCCTATTTAGATTTAACGAGAAAAATTCTACGGCATTACAGCTGCTACAAGTAATCATAATCATAATAAAAAAAATCATAATCATAATCAGTAAGATTTTAGAAAATATCCAGGGGAAAGGATCCCTCTCAAGATTTTGATCAAATCAAAAGTTAGGCTTTCTAACGTTATACACTTTCCGCTTTTGCATTGAATCCTCCATGAACACGAATTTCCTTCATTGAATTTCTCTTTTAAAAATCTGCAGTATGAATTCGTAAGGATCTCTTTGATGCTTTGGTAGTCGATGATGTCATATTTCATATAATCGTTAAGAAAATTGGTCAGTACACACTAATGGTTGTGATAAACTTATTTAATAGTTTCGGTGTGAATAAAAAATTTGAGCAATTGATGCGGTGTTCGATGCGGCAGATCTGGCTCGACTCTAGCTGGAGAAGACTCGTGTGCCGAGTGTACGAAAGTCAGTGGATCTTCCGGTGAACAGTGGATCCAGTGCGATATTTGCGACGCATGCTTTCACAATTCCTGCTAAAGACTTCATGTCGACCTCATACCTCAAGTTGATAAGCAAGGTAAGTTACCTTCTTTTTCGCTGCATTTTTTGTTTTTTGAAAAAACATACAAGAAACGCCAGAATGGCCTGAATTGAATTTAAATTAACGTCAGACTCATTTTTAGTTACATGCCAAAATAGTGAGCTGATGGCTGGGTCTCAGTATCCCAAGACCACAAGCTCACTCCTGAAAACAGGTTTACTACTTAATGATTAAATTATTATTGTTTTTGTACAGTAGATAAAAAAAATGCACATCCATTGGAGATGGATCAACCCTTTCCCTCAACTCTTAGCTTCTCATTAACGAAAAATGAAACTGATGGTAATTAAAATTCAATTCAGGCCATTGCTGGAAGCGAAAAATTGTTAAAAATCAGTTCACAATCTTTCCCCGAATCTGGACGAAGAGCGGTCTTGTTGCCGACCAGGTAAGGGTAGCAAATTCCTCCCAAACACCCTCCTGATTCTCGGAAATTGGTTTGTAACGACTGTAGCTGTACAATCATTACAACGAGGAGTGTTCTTCTGTAAATAACGTTGACTACAATTCTGCCGTTGGCTATATCTGCATCCGTCTTGCTTTTATCAGCAAAAATTGTTCTGATTTTCGCGCTTTTTCAGTAGTCGCGAAAATTCAACGTCGTGACGTGTCTTTAATTTTGAACGAATTTTTAAAAAAGTATTTGGTCACTCCGAATTGATTCCTCCTATTACGTTCAACTGAACGATTAACACCACTAATCGTTCCAAAGTCAATTTTCTCAATGAACTGTTCCAAATAACAATTCGTTGATGAACTGCTTTTCAGGTCTTTCTGGTCGAATTTCACCTAGTTTATGCAATAATTTTTTTCATTTTTGTAACTTTTCTTGCATGTTTCTCCGAAAAAACAGAAAAAAAGCAAAAAAGAAGTACCCTTGCTTATTTATCAACTTGAGGTACGAGGTCGACAGGAAATCCTTAGCAGGAATTGTGAAACCATGTGTCGCAAATATTGCACTGGATCCACTGTTCACCGGAAGATCCACTGACTTTCGTACACTCACTCCGCACGAGTGTAATCATTCAATGAAATCAAAAGATTTTTTTTTGTATTCATCGGGTAGGTACCCTACAAAAAAGTGATTTAACAATTAGAAAAACCTTAGCTTACTAGCAAGCTATCCGAACATAAACTAGCGTCTAGACTTGGCAAAAAACTGTTTTACTTGGATTTTTTCCAATATAATTATTTAGTACACGATTTAGTGACCGTGAAATATTGGGTCTATGTACAAGTATGGTCCACAGGTGAGTTTGGGATTTGGGATCCTTACGAGTTCATACTGGAGACTTTTAAATGAGAAAATTAATGAAAAAATATGTGTTCTTGGAGGATTGAATGCAAAAGCGGAAAGTGTTTAACGTTTGAAAGCCTAATTTTTGATTTGATCTTGAAAATTTGTTCAGAAGAGTTCTGTATTGCTGTAAATTAAAGCCCGCCACATACAACAGACCTGAAATACAAATTCACATTGACAGATTCCTTTATTTCTCTTTAGCGAGGAAGGTAATCACAATCAAAACACTTTAAAAGCACCTCGTTAATTACACAGCTCGCATAGTGGAGGCCAAATGGCGGGAGTGATTATATTAACGCAAGCGCAAGAAAGCGTGTTCATGCAGCACTTCAATTGACAAAATAGAATAAGCATTCAGCCAATCAAAATGAATACATTATAAACGTCGCAAAAGCAGTGTGGAAAGTTCGTTTGGTCAATCATCATGCAGAAGATGAAAAAACTCACTTGGAAGCATTCCAGTCTCTAGGACGCTCCCTAAAAGCTCGGAATTCGCACCTTTCTACGTGAAGACATCTGCTAACTGCAATTTATGATTAATCCAGTGTACTTTCACCACTTCTTTCTTTTCTACCATCTGTTTTATCGAAGCTAAATCAATTCTCAGTCGTTTTTTGGTCACAAACTTCGTTGAACGCAAATTATCGAATAACGGTTTATTGTCTATGAAACTGAAAATGCCCACAATTTTCTTCGATACTTCCACAATCAATTTTTTCATGAAATACGAGCAATCTAAGGATTCTCCGAGCGCAAAGGCTTCAGCGGCTAGTGTACTTTTTACGACTTGCTGTATTTTTGAAGCTTTCCATGCTAGTGGACAGCACTTTTCGACACCAACAAGCAGAATAATGTGTCCAAAAGCACTAGAAAAACCATCCATCAATTTCGCATGGGATCCATCGCTAAAAACTACCATTTTCCATTCGCGCATTCCTAGATCCGGGAATAGAAGCGCATATTGGTTTCTCTGTAACTTTATCAGTGATTTGTACGCATCGTTTAGTGAACTTATATCTGCACTTGTGACTCTGGTACTCAAATCCAACACGTCGA